TTCTTTCGTATACCTGTATGATGACCTTTCCTGTTCGCTGATGAACACTGCAATCCATCGTAGTAAAAGGTCGGCAAGCGTATCTTTGCCGCGGTGAGCTGTCCCTTGTCACTTCCTCCAATCACTGAACTAACAAGCAGTCTAACGGCCATTTAGCGACTAACTCGAAATAGCAGTGAAATGCGAACGCATTGACCAGACGGAGGTGTCACGCAAGTAGAAACTTTGCCTGAGCTGAAATGAGGCCGAGTGCGAGACCTTACCGACCTAATCGATAACTAGTCGAAGTTGATGCGCGAGTGGTTCCCGCGCGATCCTTTGCGTTTCATAATGCCTGTCTCTTGCACTTATTGGCCCTCTCTCTTTTCTAATTTACCGTTTTTCAATTTCTGCCTACCTGTTCTTAGCTAGGTTAAGAAAAGTATCGTCCTGTAACATGCAAACAACAGTATGCGAGCTGACTGACGCTCTAAATTAAGTCAGGAGCTGATAATACGTAGAAGATAGGTGTTCACAATATGGCAGTAAAAGAGGCTCTAGTAATATCAGCTAAAAAATGCGAGTGCTCCACTGGGACGCCTTGAAATGATTGATACCGCTATGCAGACCACATCTTGGCTAATGCTGAATTCTTCGTTCAGTCCTGTCGTAGCTCGGTATGGCTATTCAAAATATACAAGTTTTTATCAGCTGATGGCGCAGTTATATGACTAGCGCGGGCCGCAACATGTTACACTCCGTGCCTATAATCATATTCAAGTTGAGTTTCTCCGTAGCACACTATAGGTGGCGCTGTTCATTGAGGGGGTTCCCTGCTCTAGGGAAAGCTCGCTTATTGGAACAGAATATATCTACTTTCAGTGCATACAAGTCATGCAGCAACATTGTTAGGGCAAACTGTAAGCAATTTAAGAAATAGGAGACAGTGCTACACCACCGGCAGATATATATATATATCCTCTTCTCGATCATCCGCCCATATTATTGCGGGTAGCCGTTATTAAAGTCATATAGGCGACTAGTAAGCAGCACAGCAGTCCCATACCCGGAGTGACATACCTCACACAGCTCGCACATTGTCGCCCAGCCACCAGCAGGCCACTAGTAAGGGCGTTAGGCCGACTGGGCCAATCGTAGCTGCATTAGAGGAAGCGATAAATAACCGGGCTGTCTGCTGTTACTAGAGCCGCTTGCTGCTAGAAGTCACCAGTCGCAAAAATGGGTTACTACGATTCAGAGCAGCTTAGCTAGACCAGCTGCGTAGGATTCGTGTAGCGCCTCCGTGGTGGCTGTCAAACGCTGCTAAATATATCCCTGTTGCAGAGCTCGATTGCAGATGCACGACGATGCAATCACTTCAGAAGCACAATATACGATGACCCGTTTAATCAAGCTACCTGCTGCTATATTCTCGTTTTGGGTCGTGCTAGGGCGCGGTCGATCGGGCGGTCATGGGTCGGGTTAGTGATTTTTTAGAAACGTTTTTTTCTTTCTTTAGAACAACTGCAATGGCTTTGTTTTGAAGGTGGCGGGATCTCTTCGAATAAGCTGTCCAGGGGAAGCCGACATTGTTGATAGTTGCTGTCTATATTGTTGTAACGTTCGTCTCGGACTCCGCCGCCATGGCCGTAGTTTTTTAGAAGCGACAAACCCACGAATATTAATAACAGCAAGGGCAAACACTGCGGCAACGATAGAAGCGGCGGCGGCGGCGACGACCTGATGTAGGAGCAACATTGTCGCTAAAAGGAAGTAGTCGATTGAGAAAGCGGCCATGCCGTAGGAGATAGACGAGTTGGACAAGGCGAAGAAGGTTGGCGTAACCGCAGTTCACTCTAGCATGTATCTCTTTATGGCCGATTAAAGAGAAGCAGGGGCGTGAGCGGAAGTCTTATAATGTGCTCGTGTACACAACAAGATGTCTGGGAGGCTAAAAGCTACCAAATGTATAGCACAAATCACTGCATGAATCACTGATAGACCCCATGGCACAAGTGCATAAATGTGTGTATGTCTAGCTGGGCGCGTTTACGTAATATCATAGTGACGTGCGAAGTGCTTCGAAACTTCGGAAATAGCAGGAACAAAAACGAAAAGTGTTTTCGGCGGCGGAGAGATACACTTACGGGGTGGGCGCATTGTTGTGTGAATAACAATTCTACCTTGCCCCCTCTTTTCTGAAAAATTTTTTGAACGCTGATAGATTATACTGGCCTACGTTTAAAATCTAGGCACGTCAAACGTATTTTTTTAACCACTGCTAGATTAAAAAAAAGCACCAAGTTACCTACTAGAAATGTTATGTGGACGGTTAGATTTGTCGAAATATTGTGGAAAAGGTCTGCCAGGCCTATTATTGGCAGGCATTAGGACGCGTAACTGTTCTGAAAAAGGAATTTTTAAGTGATAATTTTAACAAAGCGGGATTCTCATGTTGAGTGTTTTGTAACGGCCACCACTTGCACTATTCGTACCTGTTAACGATATCGTAAAAACTACTTCAGATAAGCTATTGCGTGCGTTTGTGAAGGAGCTCTTAGCCGTAACGTCGAGTGTTTTCTATTATATTAAACACGATAATTTCTTATTCGAAAGGCATTTCGGAAGGGTAAAAAACGCATGTTTGTTTCGAAAATGTCGTTTGAAAAATGTTTGACTTTTAAACAACTATATGATACAACGATATGAAGCAACTGTTTACAATTATATAGTAAAGCAAGCTGCACAAACGAAACTCACCACCATAAACTTGTAACGGCTGTGGGGGTCGTATCGGTCTTCTGTTATTTTGAATGTACGCATATTTATGCGCAGATAAAAACAAGTCAGAGAAAAAGTTGGTCTGATATTTATACTACATTCACTAACTGCCGTATTTAGTCCTACGAGCTTCATGCGCATCCAATCCACCCTAGAGGATGCATAGGATATTGTGAAGAAACTATAGATAATTCGACCGATGTACACAATTTTCTCAGAAATTGGATCATTTGAAACTGTTATGTAACTAATAATTATCTAACTAAACATTAAACAGAAGTATATAATAAAAAAAAACGGAGTTTCTTAGCCTAAGCCTCTAACACCATTGTCGTACCACGTAAAAGTCCACCACGTAAAAAGTTGCGCATAAACGCCATATAGTTGCTCGTGAATAGAGCAAAATGATATCACACAGATGACATACTCCTAACGCTTGGACCAGAAAAATTAATGCTTTTTTTTTGTTCCGCTAGGAAATATCGGTTCGTATTGCTTAGACATCGGAGCCATCTCTCTCGAAGAGTCTTTCAGCGGATAGACGTTTCTCTTTCGTGTAAAGACACCAGATCTGGTCATTTATTTAAGTAAATCGATGTAATATAGGCCATCAAGGTGTGTATGGAGTTGGTTCAAATCACGTTAGCGTTTGTTAGTTAATACAGGGGATTCATATCGTCGTTTTTCCAATAGAATCTGCGATTTCAGCCCGTGAAATGCAGCACCTCGATTGATTTGCTTTTTTACTTCCATTAAAAGGTCGTACACTGTGTAAAACTTATTACTGAGCTGTGTCTTTTCTTTCTTTCTGCTACAGTCACGTGCGAAATTTTAGGTATTAAGTAAAATTTATTTCTATAATTATCTATATATAACCTTGTTTTAATAACTTATCTTGGTGTTTTGCTGACCATCAGAACTCAAACGACCTGGCAGTAGTGTCGAACTGCCTATTCTGCCTGATGAATACCACAGTTTACTAGGGATCCACCTAAGATCCAATTGCCAAGGTCGATTCATCATCAGTTGCAAAATATGACCTTTCGTCTTGTCGCCATTACCTTTTGTACCAATCTTCCTATTCTTAAATCTCTCGCATTCAGTACGTATCGGGCAGTGAATGAGCTCGACTTCCCGCAGCGAACAAAGACCCAATGGTCACCTATTGATTGTCAATGTTAAACGAGTTCATTACGGTAAAATCCACACAGCTATACCAAACATTGTACTAGCTTAAAAGCTCTGTACTTACATTACCTGGCTTCTAAATTTGTTCCGTTAGCTGAGTGTATTTCTGGATAAAACTTTAATCTTGTTATTATATACCAAACAAAGCTATTCATTTGAGCCCCAATCCAACACGTATGCCTCACAAGTGTGTGAGGTATTCAGGGAATATTCATAGAATGTGGAAATAGAATCACCATTAATATTTTTTCTATTGTCCTTGTTATTAGCCGTTTTTTTTGACCTTTTAATTTATTTCGCAAGGATCGAATGTTTGGCCATAGCTTTCACTGTAGGCCCTGTTGCTAGTGTACATAAGCTTTCGAGATCACTTACCCAGGTACCATCAAACACCATTTAATATTTACGTTGACGATCGCTCATAGCCAACCTTTGATGATAAGCAGTGGTGATTCCCGAGGTAAGCCACTAGATGTAATGCGAAGCCCGTATCCCTGATTAAGTAAACTTTATCCTTCTTTTATACATTTTTTCATTACAAGCTGATCCGTCCTCTTCATGATCAGGATACATTTATATTCCTATCTCCCGTTCGGTGCCTAGGAGCGGTATTTCAGCCTGGTCCTCCTGCATCTGGCCGTGTTGTTTCGCTTCAAAATCTTATGTTTGTAGGGCTTGCTATTTTACTTACCATTTTGGTATGCTTGAGATGCAAGCGCATCCAATGTTGCTTCCTTGCTTTCAGACAGTCAAAGGCCATAGTGTGCTTCAACTGGTAACAAAGTCTAATAATGATAAAAATAAGACTATAACAATTGGCTGGTGCTAGATTTCTATGGAATTGTCTGCGTCAGATATGACATAGATTGGTACCGAATATGCTAAATATACTACTAAATTATTTATGAAGATGAAACTTGAATGCGTTCAATTATAGGCATCGATCGTATTTGGGTAGCGAAGTTAAAAAATTTTTCGATTAAGACGCATTTCTGTATGAAGCATTCGTTCATGAGTTGACGTTCCTCTACCTCATGCGCGTATCCTTTCAGGTGATTTCATGTAACAAGAACATCTGCACACTGCAAGTCACAGATACAACAGGGTCTCATCAGTTCCCCGCCATGCAGAGGTTGAACATTTCCAAAGGGCACGCGTTTATCCTCGTATTTTCCGTCACCTCAAAACAATCGCTCGAGGAGCTCAAACCCATCTATAACGTCATTCGCGAAGTCAAAGTGAGAAGTAGAACCGGCCCTTAAGATATTTCTAAAAAACATATGCGTGATTATCGGATATGCGCACTTGCAGTAGATGAAAAACATTTAGAGGAGTATTATTCAAAATGGCACAGAGTCAGCATAGAATAGTACTTGCAGCCTAGACGAAACTCTATCCGGGAAGGGGGATGTATAAATTCTGGAAAAGACGGTTAAAGAAAAACCTTATATACTGTACGCAATGCCCATTTACCCATTCACCAATAATGGCTAACATAAACAGCACTCACGTTATACATAGTTTGCGTAAAAGTCCTTCAGTCACTTTGCCCAGGTGCGCACTTGAAGCTACTGCTCATAGGAATATGCGAAAACTGGGTTAAAAAAATCAATCTACCGTGTAATTTACCTTAAACGCAAAAACCCCTGAATTCGGTGCCTGCTACTGCTGTGGTAAGCAAATGGTATTATCAATATCCATTCTGCTGTACGGTGGTCGAAACGTGAAACTCTCTCGTTTGATCTAGGCAGCGCCTACTGATGCCTCCGCCCTTCGACCCATTTCGCTTGCTGTTTCCTTGAGTTGGGTGCGCTTTTTCGTGTATACATGGTCTGCAGGCCCCGTGTTGCTAGTAGACATACGGAAGCAGTGTAAAGGTGTGCGCGAGAAAAGGTATATTGGCATATAACAATACCTTCACAGCATAGTGAGTTGCCGAGGAGAATTAACCTAATGGGAAAACCCTGACTTAAATGTGAGGCCTTGCAGTACGTACCGGTGCTCCGTGAGTAAGCTTGAAAAACAAAATATGACTTGCAGCCTGAATGATACCGACGACGAAAGTGAAACTCCAAATCCTAGTTCTGCTGACGTTATCAGATGCGCCTTCAACGATAGGTCCCCATAACAAATACAAACAAAGAAGAAAAAAGGAACAGCAGCTATACGAAGAAAACGAACGAACTTATTTAAACCTATGTCAATAGGAAATCCGAAAAAGAAGCCTACATAGAAGTTATGTGACAGCAGATATATACTCCAGAGAGCCAGCTTTTCATGTAAAAAGCTTGCCGCAAGAAGGCAAACTTGTTCCGATGAAGAGCAATTTGCGGGAAGACTCGAAACTTTGCAGCGCGTTCTTGCTTTTGAAGCCATTCCACTTTGTCTTTGATTAAAAAGTGCGTAACGCTTTTTTTTACTGCAAAAACTTTCAACAACTTTCAACACAAATGTCCCTTTCAGTAAGAATGATACCTTACGGCACGATGGGAATCAGTGATTTGAAGAGCGGTCATATTTTTGATGGTTGCAAATTATTACGGAAGACGTATCACCTCTTACTTCGTTCTAGCTCAAGCTAAGGCAGCGGTTGTTTTAGGCATTCAAGTCAATAGAAGCTTACGATTCACTCAACTCTACCCTAACTAAGTCAAATTTCAAACATACACATCATCTACTTCTTCATAAAGCTATTATGACATTTTTTTTAATCCAAGCCAGCATTTTGATATTTAGGTTTTGTATTATTTGATTATTTATAGCTTAATCATCAGTATACGAAGCATTTTTTGTGTGGGACCCATTCGTTTTCACATCGCTCCCCTGAGTCCGCTCAGGATGAACCATATTTCCGCCACGCTGCTTCCGAGGGCGATCGATCCTTCGTAAGAAAATATCCTCTTGCGCAGTTTAAATTTACGAGACTCTTGTACAAAACAGATTCCTGCATCTGCACAGGTACCTTCCGTTAAGCTTTCTTTGAGCTGGTGATGGGAAAGGAGTTCTTTCTTGTTTGCACTGACGAAGACTCATTATTTGGATTCATTTTTTGAAGCTAACTAAATTATTGTTTGTTATACAAATACCCGTAGGTGATGCGAGTGATTCTCGCCAAGCAGTAGTTAGCTGTCTATTAAGATTTATTGCCCAAGTCGGCCTAGTTATTATCCAGCTAACATGAGCTACAGGTTTACATTTAAAACGATACAAATGGTTCAGTACCAGAACCACGTGAATGCTCATCCATAGCCCTAATGGTTCCTACCAAAAGGAAAGCAAATTCAATCGTACCAGTCGTTTTCCCTAACAAACAGGCCAAATCAGTTGTCCCGCCCGTTTGTTGTTGATCTTCGTAAGCCGCCTAGCAGTAGCAGCTAACCAATAGCTGGAACATATTATCAGGGTCATTTTGTTTAAGGCAAAACGAGAATCAAGGGCATATGAACGTACATTAGAGCGGGCTTGCTAAGCTTCGTTATCGGACGCCAGGCAAAAATTCCGCACTCATGCGCCTGCCGTGTGTATAGCTGCAGACGTCTATTTATTCTGAAAATAATTCATTTAGCTTAAACTGGACCTTCACAACCGTCAGATACATTTTGCGATCTGGTTCACATTTATGGTATTTTAACATCGATCTGAACTACTATAGAATTAGCCAAATGCCTCAACGCTACGAATCTGCTGACCCGCTTCGCTCTGCGCTGACGCTGTCTATCAAAAGTATAGGAACGATGCTGGCGCAACTCCGGCATCGATCCGAAGTAGTCGGGCTTTGCTTTATCGAAACAGCGAATCGGCTTGTACATGAGTGTCTAATACGGACTTCGTTGTTGCATATCGTTTGATATAAAACATTGCGCTGACCTACGAACATCTGAATATGCACCCTAACCCTTGGTCTGAAATGGTCGACGCACGAACCTTTTCATACTTGAACGGTCCTAATGGTTTGCTGGGAAAGCTAAGCTTTCGACTGACGAAGGAGCACTGGAAGCAAATCCTTTGATTGGCTCGGTATAACGAGTGTTGTGCTTAGAGGCAAATTCGTCGACTTTTCGCTCTCCTCACACGATGGTTATTACTCGCCCTCAGCAGAATTAGCCAGTGATGGTCCCTTACAGATGCCGCATCACTTCCATTTGCATTGCGGCTCGCGGTTTCTTTTCGGATGCTGCCGCCACAGCATAATCCTTGCACTCTTACTGGATGCTTTGATTAGACCTATCCTATAGCCATACAAGGACAGCAAAACAGGAACCCCGTACCCTCCGTCGCATAGCTTCAGATCAAAGCGATTAGCTATGCGTATGTTTGCAGATGTATGCACATCAAATTTAAAGAAAGGAATAGAATATGGTCTTCGCAGTATGTTTAATCAGAAAACCCTAAATGCGACCTTTAAGCGTTAGCTCATCACGCAGCACTTCTGTAGCCCCACCGAACTTCAGAAATGCCTCATTAATATTCCTTGAAGTGGTTGGAAGGGATCGTTTAGGCGATCTAGCTTCCATTGGCTGAAAGCGCTCGTACAGCTTTGCTTTCATGTACGAGTTTCTCAAACATCCAGTCGTACCAACGGCCCTCCATTTCTTCTGAAAACTTGTGTTTTAAGAATCTTTTGACGCAGCTTGCCACCTGGGCCCTTTAGCAGGTGTTTAAGCTATTCGAGCCCCTTCTTCGGCTGGCCTCCGTCGAATGCTACCTCCGGTCACTCCTTTTTACTGTTCAGGTGAGTGATTAGCCGGATCAGCGTCGAGTCGTATCGCCAGCCATCCCGCTTTTCCCACAATAATAACGGAAAGGGATACAGCTACGTTTCACATACGTGTATTCTGCGCTTATGTAGCAGTACATTCTTACTAGACTTTCGTGACACTGCAAAGGTATCGTGTTGTATAAGGATATAGTAGTATGCACTGTTTTCATGAATTCGGCAGATCTGTTTAGTTTTCTTTCACATGACCAATTGACCACAGCCATTGGGAGAGCAAGGTATATGACGAGGTGTCCAAACCACTTTGACGATAGCGGTGGCGGCGGCAAGGGATAATCCCGATTTGATCTCCTACGCTAGACTTGTTGGTTACTGAACGAACTGCTCTGAGCCCATGCCCAGTCGAGTGAGCCCAGAGGAATGGCAGCAAAGTAGGCACCTGTTTGGCTAAGCACTCCCAAACAGCACTCGAACAGGCATCATGGTCTGATCTGCAACAAGTTTTCGCTGCTACGGGTTCTTCATTTTATAGCTGCAGAACTTGGACCGCGGCGCCGTCACTGACGCGTTATTAGACTTCTCGCTCGTTTAAGCTCGTATGAGAACCTCGTGGAAAGTACGTATGGAGATTCTAGTCAAGTTCAAGAGAACCCATTACCTCAGAGGGAAATTGCCAAGAACTTTCTCTATAGAAAAGTACTTTATAAAAATATGAAAAACAAAGAGGTAACTTGAGTAAATCGCAAACTTAAAGCAACTCTAGAAAACTCTACAATCAAACAATATAAATTAGCGCCGCTGAGGTCTATCGAATTAGCTATGAGGTCACTGAATGTCACAGGTTAGGACGAAATCGAGCTTGAAGTCACAAGTTGAACCTGTCAATAAAAGCTGCTCCTATCTCCTTGTCGTTCCGACCGATCATTTAGTAGCTATGTTAATCAGCTTAATTTTATTTGTCATTCCGTAAACCGTAGAAGATCGGTCGGTCTCTCATAACCGTTTAATGATTAGATCTATCCGAATCAACTATATTGGATATAGGATGTAACTTTGTTCTAATCTCTGGAGTGCAGTCGGCACCGTCGTGTACTTTCACCAGCCAGGCCATAGAGATAAACAGCTTTTGGTAAGGACAATTAAACTAGCGTTTTGCTCGATATTAATCAAGGGGGCCATGACTATTCCTTAGAAAATACGCGATACGATAGTGTAGAGGTTTATGATGATTAGTTGAATATGTGTTGGACCAAATCTTATTTTGGTTAAACGTACGCATATAATTGGAACAAAAGCTTTTACAAATAATTATTGGTTCTGCCCGTGGAGCCCCTTTTCTTTGGACAATCATGGTGGTAAATCTGTATCCTGTTGCTTAAGAAAAAGGTAACATAAATAAAATTACCTGGCTATTCTTAGTGAAACAAGCAAAATGTACACTTGAAACAAAGCTAAAATGATCTTCCATTATTCTAGAGTTAAATCTATAATCAATGTACAGCGCAAAAAACTGAAATGCCCAAATCATATTTTCGCTTATGTACATATATTGGACGGCTGTTAACATGCTCATATGCTACAAACAACTCGAACCGTCTAACGTGTCATGTCCTAAGTAATTCAGGACACGACTTACTCGTGATTGTGTGCAGTACAAGTATATAAAATAGCAGCAATCAGTTGTTCGCTTTTGCTGCTAACGTCACAGTTTGCGCCCTTCGCTTTTGCAGGCGCGCATCGGCAGAATCTACCGAAAGTTAAAAGAGGACGGAGACGAGCTTCTCAGAGCTTTTGACAGCGAAGGTGCGCAAAGAAGGAAATAGAACGGCACTTCATTCGTTTGACAGTTGACAAACAATGAAACTTGCGTTTTTCATACGGTTCTAACCCGCTCCTCCGATTCCCTGTTCGCTTAACTGACTCAAGCAGCAGCAGTACCAATGCTAATAGGGACTAAGCAAACGAACAGTTCTCCGATGCAGGCAGCGCCTCGGTAGCCCTCCCCAAGGCTTCCCATTATCTATACATACATACACTCACTGCTACTGATGCACACGTTCCCGGCCATTGAGTCTAGCCAATTGCCCCTACTCACAACCTTAGAAAGGATCAAGACAAGAGCGTGAGGGAATAGAAGCCGAATGCTCGCCCCGGAGCACAATAGGGCAAGAAAGGGCGAGAAAGATAAGAGCTTGGTCGATTGCATCTGTGGCTGGGTCATGCAACCCAGAAGGAGGGGGCTTGATCAAAGAAGCTGGGGAAGACCATACTGGACGAAGGGAGACTACGGAGAGGCTTGGGTCAGAAAATGGGTTTATGCAACGGGAATGTTCAGCAACTTGAATAGTGATAACAAAGAAAGACTAAGAACGGAAACTAGGTTTATTTCTAAGAAAAAATCTGCGTAAGGGGAGAGATACTTCTATTGTATAAAATACAGATATGAGGCATACTGCACGTAGACAATTGCTTTACTGTGAAATAGTGCCATTTTTATAACATCACATCGTACGATTGTATTTTTTTCTCTTAGTATAAACATTTGAAAATGGGGACGTGATGCTGGTTCTTGGTTGCTACGACCAGACCAGCCTACTTCAAGTTATGTGTCAATAAATCCAAAGATCGCATCATAACCATAACCGACACGTTTACAACGGACGCGTGCTTCGCATTGCTTTCTAGACCTACCCACAAACAACGTTCCCGTACAAAAAAGAAACTAGCTTTGAGCCTTTCCTTTTTCTACTTCTTTTATGTCTTGGTAAGGGCACGACGTTTTATTGTGGTAGACACAAGCGGCATTGCGGAGCACCCGAATAAAGATAACTTCAATTACTTGATTCCTCAAATTCCGTCGTGTCAATACATAAGCACACACGCATAGTCTCTCTTTGCTTTTTCGAAAGAAAGAAAAAATTATGATAGAAAAGTTACGCACCCAACAAGTTCTTTTTTTTTCCCTGTTCTATATTTATGCCGTTCATGTGGTGAACGGTTCTAATTTGTGACGTGGGCCATTTCAGAGTGGTGAGACGGAACAAATACCGATCATGCTGGTCGGTAACAAATCGGACGAGGAATCCTGTCGTGAGGTGGATGCTAGTATTTGTGAGAGTCTCTCCAAACAGTGGCAATGCGGTTACATGGAAACGTCTGCAAAAAACAATACCAATGTTAAAGAACTATTCCAGGTAAGTTGCAGAAATGTACGCAGGTCCCGTAATAATCGTACTGAACTCTCTGGCTATAAGTTGTTTTCTTTTTCCGCATGCAACTGCATATCTATATGATAGAATCGATGTTATTATTTCCTACAAGACTAAATTAACTTCTTATTTTAACGGTATGAAAAGCTGTGCCTAGTTCGTTAAATTCATTCGTCGTCGGTTTCGTATCGCCTCGATTATCGGCTGTGACCGCAAGATTCTGCAAAGCGTTTCATTGTCCTGACACAACAAAAGCATGTTCTTACCGTACATTTGAGAGGGAAGGCCACAAACAGGATTAAGCTCTCAGTTCGTTAGTAGACAGGGTCTAGCCTCTGTAAAACAAAATTAAGAATTTCAACTATATTCATAATTGGCTGTTGATCAGTGATCGGACAAGTTGGCTTCTTACAGAATAGCTCTTTGTATCGTATTTTGTTTTCTTGGACCTGCTGTAAATAGCCGTCTGGGAAATACAGTTAACTTGGCCAGCTGCTGACTTCATCTGATCTCCAGTTCGATCCACCGGATATTATGGATTAGTTACGCTTACTTGGCCGATTGACATATAGTCCATGAGTCCGGTCAGCAAAAGTCGACTTAAGTCAGCTGCAATCATGTCTCCATTTACTCTATTCAAGTCTGAAATCTACCTAATCCGGTGGCTAGAAAGATACGTGCCTATTCTCTCCATACGTCTGTCTTCCTTATTTAAATTCATAGCTATATCCCTTGAAAAAAGTAACGTTTAAGTATATAGAAAAAAAAAATTCCCAAGACATGTTTCTTCACTCATTGACGTGGTCCAAAAAGAGGTCTTCTAATATTATATTTATATCGTACATAGCAAAACCCGCTGGTCACATAAGTATCGTTATGCTGCAGCACAGGCTAACAGCGAGACGGCGTGGAAATAACTGTATTGCGTTAGTTACTACGTCGAACTGCTCGTGGCTCCCATGCTTGATATTATGATAAAGGGCAAATAACTTCAGTTATGATGCTTTAGCACAAAACATTGGCCTCGACGATCATGCGTGTTCCGAACATCTCAATAAATATTCAGACCTCTCTGATCAAGCGAGTACTGCGAAGTAGAATGATAATATTAACAGCAGCGTCAATTGAAGCGCAATACCTAACAAAAAGCATTGCTGTATTGCTAAATTCGTGACAATGGCTCATACCGTCACTCGACTTGTTCCATAAAAACAAACGGAGTTCTAATGTAGCTGAACTAATTATCGGAACCCGCACCATCTTTGCTATTTCACACTATTTTCCATATGTACATGTGGTCTAATTTAATCTACTCTTTTTTGTTGCAGGCTCTCTTGGAAATGGAAAAAAGACGCAACATGTCCCTCCAACTCGACGGAAAAAAAACTCGTTCCCGTTTCGGCCGCGATAAGCTCAAGGGAAAGTGTGGACTCATGTAGACAAAATCAGCGGCGAAAATACCAATGCAACAGTAAATGACCGACCATGCGAACGCTGATGGCGACGACCCGCACCACATCGTTGGGTCACAATAGATCGGTCCGCAGTCACAGTAAGTAGGCGATACAGCGGCAACTATCGGGACGTTGAACCAGACCAATACTATCAGCATGGTGATGAGCCATTGTCAAATCAGGGAAATGAGGCCTCAAATAAACGTGCGTGTCTGTGCGTGACCCTGTCTGAGTTTGGGGTATACTCTGTACCTGACACCTATATGGCAGTCCGTTCTATTAAAATCATGTTGCAACGTATGACAACATCATGGAAAACGACAAGCTTGAACATAATTCGGCGGGGGCCTTTCATGGTGTGGGGCCCGCGCCGCTTCCCAATTCCCTAGCAAACCCCTGAGTCACCATAGCAAATCAGCTTTCTTCATCTTCCGCTATTAGCACTTGACAACTCTTATTAGAACTTCAATTACAATGTACTCTACAGGAGGTCAACACCCAATCACTTATCTGCCAGCAGAGAGATACCAAACGCGTTTACCAGCGATCGGCTTACCACAACTAACGGCTATGTAGTAATACTACAACCAGAGTTTAACTAAGCAGATTTCCTATGGCCATTCCCTATCGTCGCTATTGCCATTGAGTGGATGGCGTGGAGACGTACAACACACAGAACGAATGCTATTACTTGTTAGTACTACAAGAACAAAACATCCGACCTACGTGTACCTTACTAGAGAAGGGACAAGTTATATGGCATGGCTTACTTCTTACCAATCAAAAACCTTTGTCTAATGTGGGACGTCAACTGTAACAGAGAGCCAAGAATCAAGCAACGTTTTTAACGAAGTAGACGTGTTGATCATTATAGTAGAATAACAACATCGTTTATACGACATCGCTGAGGTCGTCGCTCAATCGGATAGATCTTAGGCCAACTTCAACCACAAATCGGTTTAGTGAAAAGCGAAAAAACGTTAGTCATAATACCGTACTTTTTTCGAGTCAGCCTAAACTCAGAAGCCTATTTCTCCCCTTAGAGGAGATATGGAGGCGTTCACGACGACCACAAAATAGTACGTCTTACCTCTCTACTTCCGCATTAATTTATACTCGATTTAACTGATTCTACTCAAATCAACAACACTTTCGCTAATTGTACCCTACCCATCCAAATTCCTGTGACTTGCTACATGTTTTGCCACTTGTGAGCGATCAACGCATCGGCACCCGAAGCCCGCCAATATCCCTGGCTTCTTAATGATAATCCTATCGGTCCAAAGTTTGAAAGGGTGGATAGATGAAATTTGCTAAAGTTTGCTCCTAAGCCCTGTCGGCACCAAATGCATACTCCCAGCAGCCCTTCTCTACCGTGTCGACGTAGCGTAACGTGAAACCGCGTACAAGAAAATATCTATAGTCTCTCTATCGAGGTTGCTTGAAGCCGTCTTGGGGTCGTCATAATATCACCCCCTAGAATTTGTGTAACCCGTGATGAGATGAAACCCTGCCACTGACAAAACGTGGCTCTACGGAAAAAAAACGAAGATGACGGAGACAACGTTCAATGACCTTGCTAATGAAAATAATGACACCATGGATCGGGGAAATGAGTCTCGGCTGAACGGCGAGCAACATCAATACAAAGTAGGGTGAAATTTAAGCGAAGTAGGTGATACGAGAACACAAACAGAAGATAAGGCAGATAGGTAGGTGAAGTTAATAAAGTTATGTCAAAAAACTGTCGCTGACCTTAGACTAACTTGTTAATGATTATATATATATATATATATATATATATATATATATATATATATATATATATATATATATTGAGATAATTGATACTGGATTATGGGAGTGGTTGCATGCGCTAATGAATCCAGCGATTGCCATAACGGTAATAATAACCCTACAACCAACTATTAGAACGACGATGAAATTGACTACTCGACGTAACTAAGTGAGTGTAATAGTAACGCGGCCCTTGAGTCCGAGATCGGTCTGATTCCTATGCTAATGAAACTTCAAATGAAGATTGATCTCATTGCTGATGTCCAGGTGCTATTCTATGCAGCAGACTTCCCGCATACATCGCGTAACATCGATTAAGGCTACTTCTACGAAAGACCAGTATTCCAATAGATCAAGCCGAAGTGAGAAATGCCAGGTAAAGGGTTGTCCACAGCCAGCATCGGGTTTGTGACGATGTCTCGCTAAACGGCTGTTAATCCAAGTTAAAGCAAGCAGAAAGGGCCGCACGGCCTACCTGAATTTGTTGACATTAATAACATCGACTCCCATGTAGTTGGCAGGAGCAACGCATGATAAAGTTGCACTCGAGAACAATTTAATAGAACTAATCGAAAAGAGAGGAAAAACCCAATGCTCGAATTCGCGAAACAAAGCTATACGGTTAGATTAATTCATGCTCTGTTCACAGATCACAGTTCACCTATACTAAGGAAAACTTTTTTTGTTGAAATTTATGTCGCACATGGGTAGAACTATCTATTCGGGTTGCCAAACAAACGAAGTTGTCCTTAAAAAACAATGCCAGAACGGCTTGACTCAATAAACGCCGACAGAAAACAGAATTTCTGTACTGCAGGTCAAAACATTTTTCCTGATTAGATATGACGAATTCGAAGGCAGCAATGCTGAATTTCATGTTCTCAAGCACCTTCACGCACCGGCGAGATCAAACCTAAACGAGACTACGCCCAAACGTTTTTACATAAACTATATACGAGTCGCATAATGATGATGATAATAACGACGGCAATTTAGAAGAATCGAATGGGAAAAGTGAGACACATTGTAGTAAAGATAAAAGATACAAACGCTAGCATTAAAGTAGAAAATATATTACGTGTGATTATGGCTAGATAAGCTTACGCCTAGGCACATACAATTTACATAGTATAAAAGGGAGCATGAACATCGATAGGGTCCCAGTGTAGACGGGTGCTACCAGGATATCCAATCTGCTCTTAACGATCATGTACCATGGGCATGATCTAGGAGATTTGGCGTAGCCCATGGAAACGAACCTTGGCAAACAAACCGCCTACCACTAAGAATCGCTTTGAAACACGACCATTGAATGCTGTTAGCTATTTACATTGCAGTGTTACATTAACGCGAGAGAAAAGCTCATGGTCGAACGAGTTTCTATCAGGTGAAAGACTGTACGCCAACGGCCTGCGTGGAGCAACGTTCCGTTAGAAAATCGGCGCGGTGTGGACGTTTTCGGACGAAACCGTTTAACTACTTCGGACAATTTGTATATGTCTGCCCTCGTTAATGTTGTATTTATCATATATATGTAGAAATGACAGCATTATTATTAAGAATGCCGTTACGCTGAAGGTAATCGTGACTATTATTCTACATAACTGTATACAGATATTGTTAGCTACATGGAATTGCTATACAAATACGTAGGCGTACGGTAATCAACGGAAGAAGAATACAACTCGAAATCTTTCTAGTGCAGATACTTGTAGGACCTTTTTTACCTTGAACACACAAGATTACCTGCGGAACTGTCGGACAATTCAGTCAAGAATTGTCAAGTTACGAAAAATCAATCTTGCGTTGCGGATTATATTCGCCACGTTTGTATAGTATAGTAGTTGTGCGAATCCACGCTTGCTGTTTGCCATATCGTCAGCGAGGGCGAACCGTTATGAAATCCCTGACAGCTAGCTACCTTACTTTTGAGGAGGGAATAAGGTTCGATAAGGAACTACTAATAAGGAACGCTAGAAAAACTAGCGTCAACGAAAACATCGCTTCCCGGATCGGAGTCGTTTCTCCGCCGTAAAATTATGGCAAAACGCATAAGAAAAATGCTGCTGACATCATAGACGGCAGAGTGAGTGACATATCAAAAGATGGTGGACGGAATGCCGCGACGGCGTTTCGTGATTATCCGTCAATGACCACGTGGAAATGATCATTGGATGTGTGTGTACAGGTACGCTGGCGGAGAAGATCGTTGTTCGGACCACGAACTGGGGTCGGCTCTTTTTCTCGCCGAACCCATGTCGGACAGAGGCAGGCGTGCATGCATGCGGAACATCAGGAGCACCTGACAACTGTGAATCATCACATTAGAAAACTCTACCGAGAGATTTGCTGTCCACTTCAAGCAGGGGCGCCCGTTTGCAGTTTAAGCTTGGCCAAGTAACGACCCAGTTGTTCGTGTAACCAAGATAAGAGTATCAATCAGTGAGTATTTGTTGTTTCATCAATGGTAGATTCGTTGTTATGAGTCATCGTGACGAATCACGAATACGCGCAGATGCCCACAACGAGCCGTGTGAGATAATTATAACGGTCATTAAAACCAATTGCTCACTATATCGTTCGTAATAACACGTTCATTACATTTGGGTCAACATTAGCAGCGTTGATTTGAATCAATACAGGCGCGGTGTCAGGAAATATTAGAGTGGTTTTTAAAAATAACAAAACATAAGATCATATAGAAAACAAAATAATCATATTATCACGAACTGGACATATGCACAGACATTTCATAAACGTTACGAGCAATAACACTGATACGAGATTCAAACTCCCGCCATAACGAAAGCGTGCCCATGTTGATCAGGACGTTTTGACTTGACGTACAAGTAGGCCATGATTTTGGCGGTCCGTACTCGGTCATTCTGTGCACAATGGATGCATTCAAGTTGTCAATAACGTATACAAAACTGCCAGGACGAATTGTAGCTTCTGCTGCGGAGACGCGCTTCTGTATTATAGCGGCATTTGATGATCAGCGTTGAGAGCAGACGCATTCTAGAAGAGAAGCGCTATAATCTGCTACTGTTCCCTGCCATTACTGTTGAACGTATCTAAAAAAAAAGCCACAATACTAAAGGTCAAATTGTTTTCCACACGAGTTACTTGACTAAGTTGCATGCCCACCACAATTGAACAAACACCGCCAATGCACTCTAGTTTGCGGCCATTGCTTGACTCTGCTAGTCGTCCAGCGACTCGGAAGCGTCTGTTGAGTCAAGTGGCTTTTTGAAGCGATAACGGCAATGCTTAGAGCCTATTTATTCCTATATTAGGACCTAGAATTTGCAATTCTAGGACGATAGTAACATCGATGGGTACACACCAAAACGTTTACATGGCGGCCGGCCGTGGCTGAACTCTATTGTAACACAGTAGTAGTTCGAGGATGCGCCAATGCTTAGCACGGCGACAATGACAAGGGATCGTTTCGGGCGTCTCTCAATCTTATACGCTGGCCATGTTAATCTTATACGTACATGAAGCCCACGAACCGATACGGGTAACGAAACATTACAGTTACTAGTTATTATAATTACTATGAATGTAAATTGGTTTTTCATTGCAAAACAGCGGACGAACAGTGGACTATGGATACATCTCTCTCTGCGGAAGGGATTGATCGTCTGATCGAGGAGTAGTTAGCCAGTCAACTATCGATAAGCAATACATACCAAAATGTGATCTTTTTCTATTCAATTTTAAGTTTCTGGTCCGATAGTGGCGACGCAGCTGCTGATGGTGACTATATTTACGGCAGCGACAAATAGCGAGTATTGCTATCTATAGATATATATATATATACACACACAAATAAAGGTAAATAAACAGAAAGTGATATCCAATGTCGAGGTAGAAAAACCCTCCGCTCCTTAATAAGACAACGAGCTCCACGAGCGACCAAAGTCCATACATGCAACACGTACCAGACACAGCGTAAATAGAACTATAATATCGTAGTAACTTCCTCGAATACGATCCTACGTTCAGGCTATTGTTAGGTGTATTACCTTCTTGCTATAAGGATTGTTGCAGGAACGTTGCATAGACATACTGTTATGTTACGCAACGGTGCCGCACTGTTGCTACATAATAAACAAATCGTTCTCTGTTAGTAAACAGCAGACCTAGTAAACTGTATGAGCTAGAAAAACAGGAACAATGGAGAGAGCAAATAAAGATCATTTGACATGTTTCGACTGTCATCAACGTAAAGACACGCGACATACTCGAAATAGGCATCCTCAGCTAACTTTATGCACGAATCTTGCGAGCAGTATTATAGCACACAGTAGATATTTGCACGTTATCGCCATTGATGCTTCGAACAAAATAATCAAAAGTGATCAAAGGCAGGTTAGAAGACATTGCCAACCTACCAAGTTGGTCAAGTCATTCCCGCGTTATGAACTACCGTATCTGAAACAATCACCTACAGCGCCAGGGCACCGATCAGACAAAACATACATACGTATATTTGCCCGCCTCATTCCCACACGAAGACGTTGTCGTTTGCGTTACCTTTGCCCTCCGCAACGCGTAGTAGCGTTATGATCAATAGCGTCACTCCTCCCGTAGTGCGTATGAGAAGAAAAGTCAGTAGATAAATGTATAGATACAATATATATTAGCTATTCTATATACATATGGAAGTACTGTATGCATACCTGTAAAAGGAAGAGAAGTGTTGTCATAGCGAGATGCGTGGCGAAGTGATTAGGGGCAGAAGCAGAGTGTAAACACGGAAGGACTAAGTACCTAGACAGGGACTACTTAGAGCTAAAAACCTAACTAATAATGACGTAAGAGCGTAATTTACACATATGACCTATATGGGACGAACCGACACACAGACCCATAGGAATACGTAGACAGCGAAGACGGGTTTCACGAAATCAGGCCTCCGTCACAGGGCCAC